GAAGGAGAGAAGGGACGCGGGACGCCCCCTAGCACCACGCCAGACGAGTTGCGGGGGCGGGGCAGGCTGTCTGGGGCGTCCTCGTATGGCCGCAGCTCGGCCCCTCTCCTCGCCCAGGACGTACATCACCTCCAGAGGCACACGGCCGCCCCCTCCACCTGCGTGGAGCCTGGCCACACCACCTGGCCAGGCCGTCCAGCCGACCCACGCCCACACCGCCGGCCCGCAACATGTCCATAGCCGTCAAGGCGAGGGGCCCCGGTCCGGTGTGTCCGACACTCCAAAACAGCAGACGACAGGACAGACGCGCCGTGTCCCGGTGCGAATGCCAGTCGGATCGTTACTTCCATTCCACGTCGACGAGAAATTTGGAGCTGATGGTGACGCGGGTGTCGCGACGCGGGGTCGCGTGGGTCGGGGGTCGGGCGCCGCAGTAGAGCGGAGAGCGGCGCGCACCGACTCGGCGGCTCGGCGGCCGAGGAGCGGGGCTGGGCGAGGAGGTGGCGAAGCGGGGAGGGGCGAGGCAGCGGGGCCGGGCGAAGGGCTGCGCGGCGCGCGCTGCGCCCGGCTGCGGCTGCGGCGGCAGATCGGAGAGGGGCGGGCGCGCTATCGCCGTTCACCGGCTCGACCAATCACAGCGCTCGGCCGGGCTCGGCCGGGCTGGCCGCTTCCCTGGTGCGCGCGCTGGCGGCCCGGCACTCAGCGGCGCGAGGAGGTGGACCGCCTCTCTCCTTCTGGCCGCGCGAGCGAGGGCCGCCCCGCCCCACCACGCCCGGCCGCCGGGGCCCGCTCCCCCCGCGAGGCGGCGAGACTTAGGCCCTCCCTCCCTCGCGCGGCCCGGGCCTCTGTGCTGCTCCGACGCGCGCGCCGCACGCCGGCTGGCTATAGTTGGGGGGAATGGCCCTGTCTGGCTCCGTGCTGCTGTTCATCACTACTACGCCTATGGATGTCGCCGGGCCCCGTTGGAGCGGATGTGTAGACTAGCCCGGCGTGCAGACGTGCGCGCGGGTCTGCCTAGAGTCGCTAACCACGGCGCCTTGCGGCGCTGCGGTCCCGATCGAGTA